AATGCTAGAGACCAGCTTTACGCTGTTCATCTAGTTAGCGGCACTTACAAAGAAAGAGACTAAACAGATATGATCACTTACCTCCTGAGCGGACGCCTTAGACAAATGAGGGCGAAAGCTCAGAAGATTTGTCCCTTTTATAGGCCGAAAAGCTATGAATTGCATATTCTAACATAACGGTTGCCTTACAGCTCTTTGATCATTTTTGACAATTGAATGGTTGTACCCAATAATGTGCAATATTTCCCTACCCGCACAATAATATTGCATTCAATCTAATTTTGAGTAGGTATGTACAAGTAAACAAGTAAAACTAAGAAGATGAGTTGAAAAAGTAAATATAATCATGTACATAGATATGAATATGGTAAATATTTGGTAATACATATATGTATAAGTTTTTTATGCTACATGTATAATTATCATTTTGTAATTTTACAGAAGCTGCAGTGGATTGCCCTCTATTTGGTGGTCCGAAGAGTATAGAGGGATTTAAAGCTGCAATGCTGGATGTCCTTAAAAGCACCAAGCAAAGGTACCGAAATAAATTAAAAAAAGAAAAACTTGTGGGACCTGATAATGAGCAGACTTTGTCCAGAAAAGACATCGAAGAAGAGCTTGCTTTAACTAAAGATAGCTCGGCTCTTGAGTTGTCGGAGGGAGAGATGGCAGATCGGGACTCTGACTATTGAAATTTTTTCAAATAAAGTGTATAACACAGTTCCTGTTGTCCTTATTGGACAGGAACGTTTGTGACGTGGGCAGTGGATATTAAAGGCGACCTTTGATGGTTTAACTTAAACAACTGTTTGAGTTGGCTGGTAAACTTCAACTGACTTTATTGCAAATAGCTTTTTAGTTCCTCTGCATAAAATTTGACTTACAGCTACGTGCTTAATCCACATACTTTTTGTTGTACTTAATTCTATCAACTGAATGAAAATAAAAAAATAATTTATTTTAAGACCCTCAGAAGTTAGCACCAAAGAAAAGCACTTAAAAAATAATACACTTAATTAATTTAATGTAAATGCTTAAAAAAAAAAGTAATTGTCAAATGTATTGCGAAAATGAAATTAAAAAGTGCTTTAATTTGGTGCTCTTCTAAAACTATCTCTGTAGTATTTATGTAAGTATAACCCACACGTCGGGCAGGCCTACGGCTATCACATCGGGCAGGACTATCGCCGGCACGGTGGGCAGGCCTATGGCAGGCACATCGCGCGTCGGATCGCGG